CCTGCTGATGGATACTCACCATCCTTGAAGAGTTGGAGAACTTCACTGTTAGGGTTGAAACCAGCAGAACTGCCTGGCAACTGATGTTATTCACTGCATAACAACCTGCTCAGGTTCTGGGGAGGGGCACTGGTTCCTGTCCATGATGAGTCAAGGGATGGGGAACTGGATTTCTCTAACACACCCAAGAGAGAAGCCCTGGGTGCAACTATTTCCTCACATGACCTCAAAAGGTTAAACCCTGCCTTCCAGCTTCCCTTCGTGGGAAAGAAAATGCAGAAATCCAGAAAAAAAGGTGGAACATTAAGCCTGAGCAGGGTTGATGCCATGACATGCACTGCTCATGGAGCACCAGTCAGCTCTGCCCGGGCTGTGGAGCCACAAAGCCCTGGGAGCACAGCCTGGGGAGAAAAGTGAAGCTGCTGAGACGTGAGTTGAGTTTGGGCTTGCGTGGAGGTTCTCCATTAGTTGAGGTTGGGCTTGGGCAGAGATTCTCCATGGGTTTAGGTTGGGCTTAGGAGAGACATTATCTATAAGCTTAGTTTAGGCTTGGGCAGATGTTCTCCTAGAGCAGAGCAATCTCAAGTCGGCCTGGAGAAGACCTTATTCCTTGCACTGTATCTGTGTTTTTTTTGCAGGGAAGCTGGAGTCAAAGCATGTTTTTTCTGTGGTTTATCCCCACGTGGTGTCATGGCATGCTGGGCTGGGCTGGGCTGCCCTGCCAGCCCTGGGGGTAGTACCTGACGATGAAGTCGGAGTGCGCGCTCTGCATGATCTGCTTCTCGGAGCGGATGTGCTCCTGCTGCCTGGTGTCCACGATGTGGCGCTTCTTCAGGATCTTCATGGCAAACGTCTTGGACTCCTCACTCTTCAGCTGGACCTTGGGCAGAGCAGGGAAAACACCTGGGGTTAGAAGCAGGGCACAGCCCACCACCAAGCTGTGGTGGTCTGAATGCGTCAGGACCCCCTAAGCCCACCACCCTCCCTTCATACAGTTCCTCTCATGTCTCTGGTCATCAGTTCCACTTGGACAGGAACCAGATTTCCCACCACTTGGCCTATTGCTCAGTGGAAAAGCCATTTTCTAGAAATGGGAAAACCCCACTCTGAGATCAGAAGGTGTTGCTAACTCATGCACCACTTTCTCAAAGCCTCCTTCTACTGCCAGTAGCAAACGCGCCGGCCCTGGCAGGGAAACACAACCCCTGGATATTTGGAGATGATGAGCAGAGCTGGCTTTTCAGCACCACTGCTTGGTCACGTCTTCACTTTTAACCTTCAGCCTCTGCAACCCATGTTTGGCCTGACTTCCCGAGGTGACGTGGAAGGGAGTTGTTTGCTTGCTCCCCAGTGTTGCCCTGGTAACTTCTGAACCCTGAGGCATCCCCAGCCCGTTCTGAGGGACTGGTCCCCATCCCAGAGACAGCTGGAATGCTGCCATCCTCTCCATCTGGCTGTCCCCTCCTAGGCACTGAACCAGAAACCTGGTCACTGACCTCCCAGGCCTCTCAGTTTGCTGAACTCCCCCAGCAGCTGCTCACAATGGTGCTGCCAGTTAAATGCTTCTCCCTCTTTATCGTGAGAGGTGCCATGTGGAAACTTCTATTTTTGGTTTGCTTGTAGGAATTTAGCTTCAGCCAGCAGATGAGAAGCTTCTCTGTCAACAGGCCCCATCAGAAACCCTGCCTGTTAGGAGACAACACTCATGCAAACACTGTATATTTAATATAGTTCTTATTTAAATATTTTCTTGGTGACATGTGGCACCTTCCACACTTTTCCCAACCTTCAACGGTGTCCTCTGCACGTTCTTTGTTCATGTGATTGCAGAATCCCAGAATCCCAGACTGGTTTGAGTTGGAAGGGACCTCAGAGATCATCCAGTCCAACCCCTGCATGGGCAGGGACACGTCCCACCAGCCCAGGCTGCTCCAAGCCCCATCCAACCTGCCCTTCAACACTGCCAGGGATGGGGCAGCCACAGCTTCCCTGGGCAACCTGGGCCAGGGTCTCACCACCCTCACAGCAGAGAATTTCCTCCTCATGTCTAACTTAAATTTCCCCTCTTCCACTTTAAAACCGTCAACCCTTGTCCTGTCTCTCCCTGCTCTTGTAAAAAGTCCCTCCCCAGCTCTCTTGCAGGCCTCCTTCAGGGGAAACTGGGATGACACCCTCAGCATCCCTTTGCCAGAAATCCAGCTGGTCCTCAAATGTCCACAAAGGCACAGAAAGCTTAAGGAACTCAAACCCAAAAGGCTGAATCTCAGCTGGCAAAGGGACTGCCAGTTAGTCAGAAATAAACCCTAACTGATGAGAGCCCACCCATCTATGGAAAAGTTTTCATCCAAAGTTCTTTGCTATGGATAGATCATGAATTTATTTCTCTATCTGTCTGCAAACCACTTGGGGTTTCACTCCCCAGATTTCCTTACCTTTCCCGCAGCCGCAGCATTTCCAAGCCCACCTGAAACTTTCCCTTTTCCAAAGGCACTTCTCTACTGTGACAGAGCCAGACTCATCATTATTAGCCTTTATGGACTTTAATTCAACCCCTTGAGGTAAATTATTTGGCATTATTCAATCTAAAGGGAACCAGGGGAGCAGGGAGAGAAGTGAGGTGACACCCAGGGAATGAAGACACTGAAGTAAAACCTGGGCTGAGTAGAACTTACTGAAACTTGCCAAAAGAAGAAGAAAATCAATGAAGGCTTGGGATGACTGAGCATCTACTGCTGGAGAACTCATACCTCCTGCTTCTGATGGCCACCCAGACCACATGGTTTCCCATCAGAGCTGTCCATCTGGAGATGGACAAGTGCAACCAGCTGCCACACAACTCATTTCAAACACAGGTCTCTGCAAATCCCTGTGAGATGTTGCAGATCGGATTAGTTTTCTTTTCAGAGTGTTTTCTTAGTTCAGGCTGCTCACAGAGATATAACAATGACCACTGGAACCAAGAAAGTAGCTTTTTCAGGGTAAGTATTCAGGGAAAGTATTGCTTTTTCAGGGCTGCCTGGGCACATGATACAGAGTTTGGAGAAGAAACCTGCTTTTCTATCTGTACTCACACAGCTTCAAAACAGGTCCAGGAAGAAAATGACTATGAGGGAGGAGAAGGCAGTGGTTTTATTTGGTATTTGATAACATTATCACTGCCCCAAATGTTTAAATATAGAACAATCAGGCTGCTACAATTAGCAAATGCCAGAGTTTGACCTGATGCCACAGGAGATTTTAGATCCATTTTCCATCCCTGCTCCTGTCACGTGTCAGAAGGCAGAGGATTTGCCAGAGGGTTAATTTGCATTCATCATGTTGGTGCATCACACGAAGCTGCTGAGGTACAAAAGCTGAGGCTGGTGTTTGGGATCACCTGGTTGTCCACCTGGACAATGGATCCTGCAGTCTTCTCCTTCTTCACCATGCCCAAGCCACCCCCTTGCTTTGGTGCTTCTGTAGCTGTGAGAACAGTTTTTATGACATAAAGCTGGGGAGCTCCAGGTAATTTCTATTATTCTTACAAACAGTAATTTTGTCAGATTAAGCTCATGATAGTTAACAGAAAAAGACCCAGGTCTAATCCAAATTTCATTTCCAAAGTAGAAAAAAATATATCCAGGAGTCACCTGGACTTCATACTAAAAAAACGGAAAAAAGGGAATAATGGTGAGAAGATGAGAATGGGCTGCTGAGAACACCCCGTTCCCCAACTGCAATGAGTAAAATAGCCCAGGGGGCCACAGAAGCCACAAGGACTTTGACTCTTGGCTCAGGAAGGTGGCACCTTGGGCAGGAAGTTCAGCCTCCCACAGAAGCCCACCACAAAAATCTCCTGAATGCTTCAGAAAAGGGAAGAGTGTGCAGTTTTCCAAGGCAGGCTGTTTGCAAAGGGGCCATCCTTGCTCCACAGCTCACGAGATCACCTTTCACTCACTTGGAAGCAGCAGCTTCTACTTCCAAGACTATTGATTTGGTGGAGACCTGGTGGAGCATCAAGCAGCAGCTGCTCTTCTCTGAGAGCAGACAAGTCACTAAGAGGGTTGACACAGGGGAACCAACAACCTTCATCTCTCTCAGCCTTGTTTTTTACAAGTTGAAAGAATTTCTCATCCCTCCTCTTATCCATATTACCCAGTCACTGCCCTTTCACCAGCATCTCCTCTCTTGGAGGTCCAGTGGCCATTGTAAACGTCCATGTTCAACAGCAAAATCAAAGCTGGGTATCTGCTGGAAGGCCCAGAAGCAGGAAAAAAATAGAAATAAAACTTAACTACACTGAGCACGTGGTCTTTCCCTTTCTCCATCTTCCTCCATATGTATAAAGAGAAGGAGATATGGAAAGCAGGACAAGATCCAACCTCTCCTGCATCTCCAAGTCTGCATTTCAACAGACCTCAGCTCCTGGGCATCCTGTGCTTAGATAAAAACGCTGGAACTCCTCCAAAAGTGTTGCTTTGCTTTATGGTGTATAAACTTCTGCCACTTTCTGAAAACACAGGGTGCTTGAGGCCTGATTTTTATTTCATTTTATTTTTTAACACAGCTGTAATTCATGTAGAAATAAATAGGGTTTTACACCTTGGTGCTTTTTCAGTGTTTCTGGGAAAACAGATATTGATGAGACAAAACCCAGGCCAAGATGGAAAAAGAGAGTCAGTGGATTTATCTGTATATTTCTTATCCTTCCTCCTTCTTCATCTCTATTTGCTATAAATCATATATGTGTGTTACACAGAGTCTGCAATGTGAGCAATTTCTGTTCAACTCCAGGGAGTGCTGAGCTGCTCCAATCCAAGCTGACCTTGAGAAGCTGTAAACCTTAACAAATACTTCCCAGGATGTGGAACATTCCCCCAAAGAAGGATGTGAAGACGAGTGAGGTGCCTGACCCTTGCCACATCTCACTGAGGATACACTGTTCTAACTGCTCTTCCCTCCCTCACATCTGGGCATTCCTAAAAATCCTGCCTAATCTAGGAGAAGACAGCAAAGAAACTGCTCTCCCAGTTTTCTGAATTCCACAGATGTGGTAGGTTACAGGCCTTGCACAGCCATGGGTTTTCCAACAAGCCCTACAATCATGTTGGTTTTTATTCTTCAGGGAGTTATTAGAGGTAATATTTGCCACTCCAGTAGCCTAGGCAGACCCTTGAAGCCATGGAAGAGCAACAGACCCAAGAGCACGCTGAACACAGATTTAGATGGATAGTTTATCCTGTCTTTGTGTTGGCAGCTCCATGGAGGTCCCATCTGGGATGGTGTTTGCCAAGGAACAACCCTCGTTTCCTCGCTGATACCAGGGAGGTGTTTGACCTTTCACAGGGTCTGGACATGGTGCTTGCAAATACCTTGCTCAGGAGCCTTTTCTGCTCATCTCCAGGGCACCTAGGCAGGCTCCCAGCCACATGGAGATACACACAGGGAGTGGGTTTGGGCAAGGAATACCAGATTTTGTTGACCCTGGAGACATGGCTTCTTCCTCAACAGGCAGGAACAGGGAGCTCTCTGGAGCCAGGCAGAAGCTCTTCTTCACCTCCTGTCCCCACAACTCACAGACAAGGTTCCTGGGGCTCACATCTCCTGCCGAATCCCCTGCACAGGCCCAGCAACACCTCGAGAAGGAGAAAGCTGCTTTTCCAAAGGGCTCTTTGCTCCATGTGTATTTTTTGGCTCCAAGGGAGCCACAACAGAGCTCTCATGAAACGTGAGCATCTTCATATCACATTAAATAACAACCCACTCGGGCTCTGAAGTGCAAATGCTTTGGCTTGCTGGGTATGTCCCAGCTCCCCCCCTCCTTTTTATTTTCCCCACTGGTTCCCAGTGAGATGCATTTGACCCAACAAAAATAGCAGCAGCTGTTGCTGAGCACAGCAC